ATATCTTCTACTCAGGCTATAAAACTAGGTTTCACCATGAAACCTAGAGAGAAAACAATTTAGATTGCCCTAAATTGACAGAATTAGCATTTTAGGTTTTCTTTATGATTTTATATGAGATAAATATCATAAATTTTAAGCTTAATTTCCAAGTTGCATTTATTAACCATCATCTGAAAGAAATTGCACACTTACACAGTTATGTTAACTAGAATCATCTTTGAGTAAGATTTATTTTACAAATTTTATACAGTGTCACAGCAAATTAAGACCGCCTACATATGCCACCTCTCTTTTCTCCACAGGTAATTCTGTGGATTGTTAGATAACAATCTCAGCTTCTACACCTAAACATACAGTAAGTGCTTTCCAGGGAATTAACCTTGTTGCCTAATAAGTCTTGAAAAAAAACACCTTGATTAACAATTGCTTTGATCTCCAGCATGTAACACCAAGACACAACTTAAAGAGATGGCAGTTGAATACTGTGAATCTAAGTATTTTTTTTTTCCAAAACAAGTTATTTACCTATTACACTAGATGTAGTACCACCAGGACATCCTACTGTAGAAAGACAAGGGCCATTATTGCCTGCACTTGAAACATAGATTACGTTGTGTTTCCACACAGCTTCATTAATTACTTCACAAATTCTCCTAAAGAAAAAGAGGAAAATAATTCATTTAATCAACAATGCTGCTTGCCTCCCACAGACATCGGGGCAAAACTCCCAGTTCCAGCAGAAGCTGTGCCCAGTCAGAGCATATGGAACATTATCCATTCCACTTCCCACACCTAGCATGTTGCCAATACTTAACCTGACCACAAAATATAGCTTCTAATTTTAAAGAGCAGCAATGATCACATAGGGAAATTAAGTCCTTCAGATTATGTAGTATTCTAACTAAAAGAACTCTTGCTTAATATTCTAAAAAAAAAAAAAAATTTGCATTGTAAATTACCGTCAATTTCAACAGGTTAAAGATATATTTTAAAATGCAAATTAAACTGTGACATTTTAATATCTATGAATATTTTGGCCTGGCCTTAATTATTTTCTTACTTATATTTATGCAAAAAGATTTAATTACAGTTTAATATTAAAATAGCTTATATTAACCACAGTAACACTCACCCAGAATTTGGCCAATGTGTTGCTTCTCCATAGCTATAGTTGACAAGATCACATTTATATTTTATTGCTTCTATCATCTGGTAAAGTTGAAAAAAAGCCAAAATGCACACTAGTCATAGGATAAGTCACTTATATATATATAAAAAAAAAAAATCACAGAACATCACATACAATCACACAAAGGACAAGGCACAAGTTTCCCCGGATTTTACCAAACACACAAGTAAATTAAAACCTTTATCTAGATGGTATTTTCCTAGTGACCACCAAACAGAACAAAGCCCGAGTTCCCAAACAGCTTATCAGCTTGCCATGTTCTAGATTATAAATTAAGACATTAACCTAAGAGAAAAATCAGAGATCATTAAATTTGTTTCAAATGCCTGTCCTCAATAACACAAAACTCCCCTTTAATAGGCAGTTTGGTCAGATTCAAAACAGTCATGAAGACACTATCATACATATTTGTGTTACCATAGCAAGATCTTTTTATGGATCACAAATATAATTTTCTATTTTCTGCTCCTTTTACTGTGTAAAACTTTTCTCATTCAGTTGCTATGTGGCAGAGTTCTTGAGCCCTTCACTGATCGGAATGGCATTTCCCTCCCTCTTAATATGCTGAAAAATCAACTTAGCAACATCGTTAGATGTTGGCCTCTATTCCAGATTTATTTAAATATTCAATATTTATCTATTCTATAATTACCTAAGTAACTATAAAAAGTATACTGACAGCACAGAATAAGGAAAGTAAAATAACCATACAAGTCATTTAGCCCACATGTTAAGCTAGCAGAAACCCTGAAGTTCTATCAGTCTGAAAAGCCTCATTAGACCTCTCCGCAAAAGAAGCCTTTTATAGCAAAGCACTAGCAATGCTTGAAAAGGTACTACAGTTTTAAGAGTGGAGCATATTCCAAAACTACATAAAAAGGACAAGGAACAAGAGCAGAAAATGATCCAGAATAATCTACTGTGAAAACAGTAGATTAACTATTTAGTGAAATACTCACAGCTCTTATTAGACCAGTGCCAGTTTCCATTGTACTTAGTCTTGTATCTCCAATCTTGATGGCGAGAATTTGAGCTCCAGGAGCCACACCATTTCGTTCAGGTTCCTCTGGAAAATATCCAGCTGCTATACTAGCCACGTGTGTTCCATGGGCTCCTGAACAAACAAAACACACATTGCTATATGCTTAGCAAGCTTCTTTTATACTAATTTAATACAATACAGATCAAATCATTTTCATTTATTGAGCAACCAGTATATAAATGAAGCCCAGATTTCAAGATCACTTTGTTTTAGCACGGTACAGCATTTGTGTAAACAAAAAGCCATCGAGCAAGAGCAGTTTACAAAACAGAATAGCTGGGAAGGGAACAAGGAGGAAAAACAATAAATAAGACCTCCCTGACACTAAATGTTCAAAAATAAAACCGCATGGTAGAATGAATCAAAAAAGCGTACCATCATACACTATCAATTTAGGAATTAGAAGACTTTTTCATATTTCTGAAATATGGATATTTCATAAGAAATCAAGAGTGTTCTTTATCAAAGACATACCATCTGAACTCTCTGCTTCCAAAATAAAAAGTGATTATATATAGAGACACAAACATGATTAGGCTTGTTGCACCTACAGCTACAGTGACACCAGCCATCGTAAGAAAGCTTAGATAAATCAAAAGAGCGAACTCCCTTTTGTTCATGGATGTCTTAAGATGTCCATAAATCACCTTCTAATCATAAAAGCTGCCAAGGACAACTGAAAATTTAACAATCATTTGAAAAATGATCGTTACAATCATTTGAAAAATGATTGTTAAAATTAAAACAAAACAAACGAACAACAACAAAAAAAAACATACACTTTGAAAGAAGGAGCATCTGCAAGAGTAACATCAGCAAAAGAAAAATATACTATCTATATATGCATATGCACACACAAAGCTCACAATATTTCCAGCAAAAATGCAAGTAAGTTTCGTCACTAAGTAAGTGTATAACCCATAGTGACTACTAGGAAATATGTATATTGGCCTTTAATGCCATACTGACAATCGCTGTATAAACAAATTGCCTTGGGCCATCCCAGGCACCAGAATCATGCCCCAATACACTATTTGGGCAGCTGCTTCTCAGGATACATGCCAAATAGTAAATTTTGTTGAAATGAATTTCATTTACCTCCACTTGTCACAATAGAAAGAAGGTTCCCATCATCATATATATTGACAGAGTAATTCAGCATCTCAGATGTTCCAAAAGATCCATATTCCTGAGCCTCTTTGTAGGTTCTCAACACTGTACAGCTAGTTAAATCACCACTCTCACTTGTATCTATGCAGGCTCTGTTGACAAAAAAAAAAAAAAAAAGGAAAAGAAAAGTAACAACTTCTAACTATTTTTTCCACACACAGAAGAACGATAAAGGTCTCAAAAGACCTGGTTTTGTGTTTATGTCTTACTTCTGTAAATCAAGCAGTATTTTTAAACTTCTACAGTTACAGAAACCTCTAAATAAACTACTTCTCAAACACCACTAAACTTAAATAAATCTGTCTTTGTAAAGCAAGTATAAGAAAATCCAGGCAATTTCCTCAGGGAAGAAGTTCGTACTAAAGCTAGCAGCAGTGTTGCTATTCTAACATGCTAAGTCTCAACAACTGTTTTGCATGATTTATGAATGATAATTTTATCACATTACTTCTCGAACTTAGTGCAAATAAAGGCTTCTTCCTTTACTTTCCCCCCACCACTGGTAGATAATAAAAGAGATTTTACTTTTTGCTTGAGGAAAAAGTTAAAAAACCCACAAGCTTACATTTTACATTATATTCTTTTTCTCTATACGTTTTCTTCACCCCTCTCAGTGAAGTCTCCAAGACATCACTGTACCCCATCTTCCTTCAGGTTCTTTCCTTCATAGAGTTCAAATGATACAGCACAATTATTTTAGTAGTTCTCTCAAATATTTTTTGCTTGGTAGATATAAAAGGTAGATATAAAAATGAACATGTTTCTGGAAGCAAACTGATATTTTTATGTGTAAAATAACATTTTAAACAGGTTTGGGCACTTACCTCCAGGTTTCACCATCATTCCATACTAGACAATCATAGACAGGACCAGGGTCACTATACTTTTTCTCAAAAGAATTCAACAGTTCTACTTGATTTTGAAGTTCCTCCTTTATTAATTTATTTACCTAGTAAGGCAATAAAACACAGTTAGAGTATTTCTAAAACTATCATCAGGTGAGTATAAGTTACTACCACTATGAGTCATGTTCCTTACAGATAATATACAATTGTTACATTACTCCATCAACAGTTAAAATTATTACAGAATACATAAAAGTCTAGAAGCTGAATGGTTTTAAATAGTGCAGAACTTATTCTTGGCCTATTATGTATAACTATTTCTGAAATGGAAGTCTTAAGGCCCTTACATTTTTACACTGATTGGCAAGTGATATGGAAGTACCTTAAATAATTTGTTGAAGTTAGACTTATTTACAAAAAAAAAAAAAGATAGTTTTCCTTAATTTCTAAACTGAGCATAGCAATAACTTCAAAACTAAGCACATTAAAAATAAAACTTACTGAAAATATATACTAAGTATTACATACAATACCGTTTTCATATTCAGTAGCAAGTTGAGCATGTTACCAGCATGAAATAAACCAGGTAAGCATCCATATTAAGGTGTTTTAATCAAAAAGCAGATACAGTCAAAATTATCTGCCAAAGTAGTCATAACCATCTTTCCATGACTCATCCAATGAAGTACTTTAAGCTTGTTAAGTTACTTGCTGTGATGTTTATTTAGAATTATACCAACTTGGGAGGGAGAGCTGTGGACAGCATCAAATTCTTCTTGTTTCCTACAGGCCTCTGCCAGAGCCAGCCTGTGAACAGGATCCCAGAGTTTTTCCTTGCGCTCCTTCTGTAGCACAAAACCAAAGTTCCTCAGTAACGTGAAAAACATTTGTCCGTATATGAGGATTACGAAATCATTTCAAAATTCTAATTACACAGCGACTATAAAGCATAACACAAAACAACTGTTACACACAAAAGAGCAATCAGTATCATTAAAGAATTTTTGCAGCAATGTACCACTGCACGCTCTCACCTCCTGAAATTCTGAAGTTATGAAAATACATATTTCTTACACCAAGCTATACAAAATCAAATAATGGCTCCAGAGCTCTGGCCAGTAGCCTACATACGTTAGCAAGTCACACACATACGTTTTTTAACCCCACTTCTCCAAGACAAAGAAAAACAAACAAAACAAATAACCCTGAACTAAAATAAATACGCCATAGACAAAGTACAATTCATTACCTGAATCCTCTCTTTAAGAGCTTTAGGATAGATGTCATAGCCATTTTTAATGCCAATATGATATTTTCCTGAAGGATTTATCCAGGTTGATGGAATCTAGAGAAGATATTCAGAAATTAGTTAATTAATTTCCTCAAAAAAAAAAAAAATCCCCACACCACGAAACTTGCAAATACCATTATTTAATTACATAGCTCTATGACAGTAATTACTACACTAACTTTTAACAACATGATACAGCAGTTGCAACTCTGTCACTAAAGAATCACTCTCAGTTCATGTGGCACTGCAGCTGAATGTCTTGAAGCATTTGTTGTCCCTCCTGCTCTGGAAACATACAGCCTCACTTGAGACCTTTCTGAGTAAAGATGGCAGGAAACAGAACTACTATAAGTGAAATGAGACTTTGGGGGGGCGGGGGAAGGAAAGGGGCGCAGAGGAGCAGGGGGGTAACAGGGTAGGAAGAATCTTATGGTTAGCCACTGATAAACATCCAAATGTTCAACTTCATTCTTGTTGCAGGTTTGGTTCTCAGAAGATCAGATCCACTAGTGCTAACAGCAATAGGAAAAAAGGAGCTAAAGATTCATCTTTACAATCATCCACAACAAAATTCAGAAAACGTTGTAGCATGGAAAGATCCAAGAGTTGATGCTCTCTCAACATTTCATTAACATGAGCACCCAAATGAGAACCTGGCAGTAATATCAACAGTCCTGTGCAGCTGAAGCCTCCAAAAGGTTTCAGGATGTGCTTTCTAAAATTTCTCTTCTTATTCTATTAAGAGTGAGAGTAAACACACCTAAGATATCTGTATCTTACAGTCTGTTCAGTCTCCACAACTATTTTCCGTGACTTCAACGGAATGATTCCTGCCGTAATTCACACAAATGTAAAATATTCCAGCACATTCAGAAATGTGCCTTTAGACCTTTTTAAGTTAGCCTGCTTTCTTCCAACAACTTTGAAAACTATATCAGAAGCTAATTTAAATAAAAGAGCATCAAATTAAATGATTACTGAGTCTTCAACAAAGCTCGGTAGCTACATAATTTGGTCTAAAGAACCTGCAAAGTACAGACATATGAAAAGTAAAAGAAATCAATTAAACTGAGCAACCTGCTTGAAGACAAGGGAATGCTGAATTAGGTTTGGATAGGTTCTTGTTAAAAGGAGAGGGGAAAAGAAAAAAGCACACCTCTAGGTGTATCAAAAATTGATACTAAATCTGTTGTTGGAGGAAAAAAATGCTCAGTGGCCACTAAAGAGGGTCTTACCTTTAAAGTTCTTCCAGAAAGACCAATAATTTCCCCATCTTTAGGTTCTACTACAGTACATGTAGTTACATCACCACTGCCTGTTGTATCAATTATATCAATTATCTTGGGTTTCCCATGAGTTGTAATCTGAAAATATGAGCACAGAATATTGTGAAATGAAAATGCAGTTGAATATTCTTCAACATACAAACCAGGAAATTTTTCATTTTGTGGAAAACAAAGAAATCAACTTTCTTAAGCACCCTACCTTTAACTGAAGGGCATATAAAGCTATTTGAAGTTATTATTTTTTAAATGAATTTGCATATCTTCCTCACCTTAAATAAATCTAGTAAGTCATTTCTAAAATATACTTATCAGAGAAAGAAAGAAAAGTTACATTAATAAAGCTCAGAAACCCATATTTAGAACTAGACTGTCTAGTTAAGTTTTTCCTAAACTCGCAAAATTAGTTTTCTTTCAAGACATTTACAGCATTGCTTTCATCCTACTGCTCCAGCCAAACTTCACAGTAACGATGCCGAAATCCCAGAAAGACGAAAGCTGCTGCAGTGCACAAAGTTACATGCTTGAGCCTTCTAACTGAGTTTAAACGCCAAAAGGTACACAAAATACCATTATCTTATTTTCTCGTTACGAGGATTCTGCTTCAAATTTTAAACTGCAAAATGTTAGCAGCTACCGTTATACACATCTAATACTCCTATAGAATATTTCTACAGAGGTGAAAAGACAGGAAAACTACCTGTCTAGGAAGAGCAGTTTTAAAACCTCCTCAAATTGAATGAAAAACAGCCCTAAATGGACTTGACAACAGTCACTGGCCTACTGGGAAGAACCTTCCCAATCACAGACAATAACAGTATTTTTAAAGGCAAGAATGAGAAATATAAATCATATTAGAGGACTTCAAAAGAGAAAGAAAACAATAAAATAATAATAAAAAACACACAATCTTGCAGAATGACATACCATATCATTTTAAAAGAATTTAAGGGAAAAAACAAACTACAAGAAACACACCAAAAGACAAATATGTCACCGAAATTTAATATTATCCTGTAATAGTAATCTAAACTGCCAAATAAAACTGTTATATAAACTGCAAGGCTACATTTATGTCATGGTACATATATGACAACTAGTGAAATCCCAAAGGAACATACTAAAAATGTCCTAGAAAGAAGAAACAGAAGAAAAAAGTCTCTTGGAGAGAAGCACCTTCCACACAATTACCAAAAACATAAGACTCTCTTGGCACATGTATTAAAAAATATGCAATGTTATTTTCTTCTTATCATCACATTGGGGTTATATCGTATCAGCTTACTTAGCAAAGAGACTACATTTCCTAAACAGTAGGAGATGCTTGAAGAGCAACACAAATTGGCTTCCCACAATCTTTTCAACACAACCTATACAAAAAAAATACACTGAATATCAAGCAAACAAACAAAAAAAGCAAACAAAAAACATTCCTGTTCAAAAAAACTGCAAATGTAGCTGTTTTCTAGCATTTCAATGTCTGGTATTCTTGTCTTTATGCCCTAACATTAATGCTGACGCTGCAAATAACACACAGCAGGTAGTTTTGCTCAAATCGTATTCTGAAAGTATGAGTTCAGCTACAGAAAATAGACAACATAATACATTATTTTATAAAGCTTACTCTGCTGATGCCAAAAAAGACAAAACAATTGTCAAGCTTTTCTTGAACTCAGCAAATATGCATGAATACCTCCAAGGTTTAAAATTCCAAGATTTAGGGAAAAAACACAAATATAAAAAACTACAAAGAGAAAATACTGCAATAGCTATAAGCAGGACACAGATTCTTATTTTCCCGAAAGTAAGAAATACTGCTTTGAAGAAGTTTGCTACGGAACACTTCTCATTGCAGAAACCAGTACTGTTAACTCTGTTCAGATATCCATGCTCAGTTAGGAGATTTGTTAAAGCAACAATCTGGTAATACAGTTACTGAACAACAGTTATGCAGTCAGGAAAATTCACTTGAGAAAAATCCACGCATATGCATTTACACCACAGAATTTTCTAGCATCTGTAATTAATCTCCTCAGATGCCAGTCTCCACTCACAGAGAAGTCACCAGGTGGCCTTGAACAGAAGTTATGCCTAAAAGATGTTTCCACCAACAACTCATCTGCAAGCTCAACCCAAGGTTATCGGGATTGAACATTTTTCAGTTCACCTCTAAACAAGGTAGATTAATCAGTGATTGAGCACACACACACAAAAAAAAAAAAAAAAAAAGAAGCTGTAACCCAAGACTGCCTCTCTGACACTTGCAAGTCATAACACAACAGGTGGCCAGAACACAGATTGATGCTCCAGTGAACTTGGGTAGTTTTACATGTTGCTGCCTGGCCACAAATTCTCGGTGCACCTCCCAGACCGCACAGCTCCTCACCCTCTAGCTGCAGAGCAGGTCCGCACGTGCATATGAGTTTGTGCAACCCCAAACAAGAAATCCTCATGTTTCAGGACAGACACGAGAAACTGCAGAGTTCCAGGTGCAAAGGTCTAAGGTTCATATTCTAATGGCAGTGACCCAGCCAGACCCACGGCCCTTCAGAGCAAAGTCAGTGATAGGGCTCCTGGTGCCAAATGTAGCTGTATGGCACATTGCCCACCAACAGTAACACTACAATGAAATTTAAAGAGTTCAACTGTTTTGTTTTTTGTCCTCTCTCCCCTTTCAAATCCTGTAATTCTGAGGGACAAGGGGAGAATTAAGTATTATTAATTATAAATTGTCTTATCCCACTAATATAATTAATGAATTTGTTATAGTCAAAAAGTATGCTTTAACATTAACTTTAGAAAAAAAAAGAACTCCTATATACTGAAAATATTTTATAGAGTATTGATTTAAAAAACAACAATTCTACATTTAATATCATGGCTTGTGTACAGTCATGTGGAAAAATAACACACTACCAGTTTATAAATCAAAACCATTTGAGGTTTTGTACATTTTAGTTGGAAGTTTCAGAAAGACATGCTTTCACATTACCTCTGACTGTAGAATAATCCAGTTAGTAAATTAAATACTTCGAAATAATCTACCTGTAGAACTGTGCCAGCTGACCTTTAGAAGCAGGAGAGAATCACTATATGAGACACTCTAAACCACTGGAAAACTGAACTAAAAAGGCAAAACCAGACACACTTAAGCATATTCGGCATATACGATATCATTGATTTTAACTGATGACTATTGCAGCAACAAGAGAAAAAGTTCATTAATGCCTTGCTGATAGCCAGTCATCACAAAATAACTGTCAAGCAACAAAAGCCTTTTTTACTCAGTGTTAAAAGCAAGTGAAATTAACATAACTGCTACTGCTAAAAGGCTTCTTCAGAAAAATAAAAGTTAAAAGTTATTGAAATCTATTCACACACACACACACACAAAGTGTCAGACTGAAAGAAGCAGAACTACCAACTTGTTTGTCTTGAAATACAGTAGGCAATGAACAGCATCAACAGAAAAAGGGCAGGGTGGGGATGAAGAAAAACAATACTTGCACAACTAAATCTCTCAATTAAAAAATACTTGCCTACATAGCAATTCCTCAGGACACATGCCTGAATGAGGAATTTCATTAAGAGCCATGACCAGCAGTCAGGATACATGTTCTCCAAAAGGGCTGGGAGGGGAAGAAATTAGCATGCCAAAAGCAGACCAGCCAGCTTTACTTTACCATTGGTATCAACAGGTGCAGTGGAAAGCAAGGTGAGAGGGCTTCTCTACACAGCACTATCACAAAAGATCCAGAAGGAAAATGTATGTACAAGCTAGCTTAACACCTTGTAGGTGGGCAATCATGAAAAAAGCACATAAACACTATTTTTATATGTTTCTTCCTACTTCTCCTCAAACTCACTTTCACCAAGGGCAAGGTGAGTTTCTTTTTTCCAAAGTTCTCTATAAAATGCCTACACCTCTACCTGAAATTTTAGCCTTCACTTCAGGAAAACAGGGATACTAGAGGATGACTACGAGCCCTCACAATCTCAGCCCTGATCATGCAAACTCATGCTTTCTTTGTTCCTCATGTATGCAACCTCTAGGGATTCAGCCTCATTGCTTTCACACAGGAATCCCTTCAGAACTACGAACTTCTCACTTATCTTCTGAACTGCCTTTTTACTAACGTCTGGTCTGCCATGACACTATCCTGTCTGCTTGCTTGCTATCTCCATTCCTTATTCATCTTTACCTTACCCATAGCTTTATTTCTGCCAGGAACCAGTTTCTCATCAGTTTAACTGAATCTAAATTAAAGGTACCCAGTCCCACCTTCCCACTATCTGTCCTTTCCTTTGTCTTTTCATCTACCCAAATGCCATAATGAGTCACTTCAGAAGACTGAACTAAAAAATTGAAGTTAGGTCCCTGGACTAAATCATGGAGGAATCAAATCTGCACTAATACCAAAAAACCAACCAACCAAACAAAAAGCCCACAGATACTACAGGCCCCATTTAAATAAATGATGCAACCTCTATATACGGTGCATACAACTCTGAAGTCTCTGACAAAAAATATATGCTGACAAGAAATTAGAAGCAATAGTGACATAAAACGCCATATAAATGTATATTGTTACAAATACCTTTAAAAAAAACACCAAAAACAACCCATGCAAAATTCCAGAACTAAAAATCACTTACACCAAATTTTACAAAACCTGAGATCAAGACCATAATGACAAACATGGTGCCAGCACACTCAAATCTGAACGTGGCTGCAATACAAAGCAAGAAAATAACAGTGAGATCAAAAGGCTCGCAAAGTTTGCTTGAAATGCACTTTGCACAGAAGACATTTATGCAGCTGTTCAAAGCAGCTTGCTACCCCCGAGGAGAAGGAAAAACAAACAAAACAGCAATAAAATAAAATAAAATAAAACCTAACGTTTAGGAAAAACAGATAGCACTCTTCAAAGCGCCCGTTCTGCAGAAGGCGGCCGAGGAGACCAAGCGCTCTACGAGCGCCGGGAAAGGCGCAAAGGGAGAATCCTCGCATAAACAACGGGGACGACAGCGTTTTTTCTGCACTCTCACAACGAACCTCCGCGAAGCTCGTGCTAAGGCAGCACAGGGATGAACACTTGGAAAGGAAAAACAACCAAACGCACAAAAACACACAGGGGAAAACGCACCAGGAGCGGCGGCAGCAAAAAGCGCCTCGCGGCGCCGCTCCCCGCCGCGACTCCGGGGGCG